TTTTTTTTTTTTTTCAAGACTTTAAAAAGAAAATAAAAATGCAGCCATGGCGCTTGTTAGGGCCATCTTTAGTTGGTCTCTATGGGCCACCACTTTAAGGATGATGGCCACCGCCCCTTCGACTAGGCCCTCTCGTCTTCACAGTCCCAATGGGAGGCCCGTTTTGTGCATCACTTGGCGATGTGGGAAAAGTAGGCGGCCCAACAACGTTATTCTGCATACAATACTACAACCTTGAATCTGCATTTTATGATCTTGATATCTAGAGAATCTTAGTGCTGTTAAACGAACAATTCGCAAACACAACTCAATTCAGCTCGTGAGTCATGATGAGATCGTTTATTAAACGAGTTGAGCTGAGCTTGTTCGCGAACAACTCGTTTCTAATTTTTTTTTTTTGGCTTATAATATAATAGTTGAACCAACATGTTCGCGAAACATGAGTTCGTTAAAGAACTTAGGCTTATTAAACAAGTCGAGCTGAGCTCGAATAACAGCTTACATTAGAGATCATGGTACCGAAAGATTTTTAGATTTGTGAAATTCTATAACTGATCATTTATAAAGGAAAAAAACACACAATTTGAAATATATTTTGAGACATTTATTAAAGTTGTGGATGAAAAATGGGTGAGTATGTAGTAACTAGCTGATAACTAATAATTTAACTGAACAAACCTCGATGGATGTGGAATAATGAGCAACATGGAGTTCATCGAGGACTCGAGCATGACATGCATGGAAATTGAAACAAAATAGCAACATTAGCACAAGAGAGGATATGATTTTCGACATCTCTCAAGTCTCAAAGGAAAGTTTAGAAGGAATTCAAGTTTTGTTGCAATCAGATAACAAAAGCCAAGAGATTGAGTTGTTGCTAAAATAGCTTAAACCCATACTATATTTATAGGAGGTGATAAAGAACAAGGAGAGACATTTTTCACTCTTTCTAATTTTCAACATAGAAATACCACATTATCTAAGAGATGTGCTTTAAGAAAATTAAAAGGCGTGAAATGGCTGTCTTCTAATTGTTTGAAATTCAAATGTTATCTATCTATCTATCTATATCTATCTATCTATACTATTATAAAAGGACAAGTGATTTTGTAAAAATAATGATTTGTCTAAAAAACTCTTACTTTGACATATTTTTAATGGCAAATGAGTAATACAGTAATATCCATCTTATATTATATTTTTAATTTGAAAAATGATATATGGTAATAACAAATAAAGAACTTAATTATATAAAGATTAAAAAAAAGTAAAGTCATACGTGATGTACTATACTAACCTTTATAAGGAATTTTAATAGTTTCAAACTCTAATTATTTTAATTAAAATGTGTTTTAGTGAATTAAATCCATATCATCGAGTCATAGGACAACTTAACATTGCGTCATTGTGAGTTTTCCTCATATAAATAAAGTGAACATTATGTGGCAATATTCACTAGACTACCTTAAAAATAGACACCTGATTTTTCTTATATATATTAATCAATTTTATTCATCTATAGTGAACTCTAATCATATATTATATTAATATATGATTAAAGAAAAAATAATTTCTATACACTCACGTAAAACATATTTCAAAAGATATACATTCAAAAATAAACTAATATTATTTTAATTATTATTCATTTTGGTTGTTGGCATCTAAAATATTTACTTAAAATAAGTGACGATAAATTCGTGATTTTGAAAATTATGACATAATGAAATATTGTATGAGAATTGGATAAGAAAAAACTAAAATAATAAAAAATAAATTAAATAATTGTTAACTATCATAATTTTAATTAGTATTTTAAGTATAATATCATTTTATTTATTAACATCTAAAATATTTCCTACAATAATTAATCATAAATTCATCATTTTAATGTTAAAATTGTAACAACAATTAAAGAACTTATATAAATTAAAAAATAAAGGATACGTGATCTACTATAACATAACCTTTATAAAGAATTCTAATATTTTCGAACCCTAATTATTTTAATTAAATGTGTTTTATTTGTGTGAAACAAATCCATATCATGGAGTCATAAGACAACTTAGCATTGTTTCTAATGACGAGATTTTTCAATTTATGTTAACATGCAACTCTTAATAAATAGACACCAAATTTTTCTTATATATATTAATCCATTTTATTCATCTATGGTGGACTCTAATCATATATTAGTATATAATAAAAAAATAAAAAATAATTCCTATACACTCACATAAAACATATTTCAAAATATATATATATATATATTCATGATAAACTTATGTTTTAATTATTATTTATTTTGGTTTTTAACATCTAAAATATTTACCTAAAATAATTGACAATAAATTCGTGTTTTTGAAATTATGACAAATAATGAAATATTGTTTGAGAATTGGATAAGAAAAAAATTGAAATATTAAATAAAAATATAAATAATTGTGAACTATAATAATTTAATTAGTATTTTAAATATTATTTATTTTATTTATTAACATATAAAATAGTTCCTACGATAATTAATCATAAATTCATCTTTTTGCAAAATTCGATTAATTATGAAATATTGTATGAGAATTTGATAAGAATAAAATAAAATAATATATATTAGTTGTGAATAAACATATAGTACCACACCAAAAGTTCAAACAAAAAATACTCAAAAAAATATCATTTTAAATTATTACAATATAAAGAATGCAGTATAATGAAATTAGTATTTAGTTATGATTAATTTATTTATTAAAATTTAAAATATATTTAATTAACACATATATAAAGAACAATTGCTTTTGAATTACAAAATTTTATGGGCAACCGTATAGTATATTTGGATATTTCAATTACTTATTTGTCTGGGCATTGATAATAAAGATGTACTAGATAAGTTCATATTACCTTAAGTGTCTTATTAAGTAAGACAACTATTTCATGAATATTTATGATTGTGCATATAAACATTTGAGAATATTTTTGTGGCTTAATAAATAGAGATAGGATAAAGAATATTATTCATGGTAGACATGTTACTTAAGTGTCTTATTAAATAAGAAAATTATTTCATGAATAATATGATTGTGCGTATAAGCATTTGAGAAAATTTTTGTGACTTAATAAATAGAGAATAAGATAAAGAATACTATTCATGATAGACTAATTAATAACTATAACTACAAAATAAATAAGATAATGTATTATGTCAGAATAAGTTAACTTATTGAGTTATCATGCGACGTTTGATTAATAGTATGCGATGAATCCTCAATTACGAAAAAACAAACATTAGTCCTTGTTGCTTTTTTTATTAAGTGATTGAACACTTTAACAGACATGTGGTTATTTTTTATAGATCAAGAAAATATCTTTATCTGTACTAATATAAAAGGAGGAATGATTTTGTAAAAAATCGCATGGATTAAAAAACGTCCTTCTATTTATATTATTTTTAATAAAAAAACTGTAATAACTATTAAGTATCTCAATGAATATAATCACGACGTAATATTTCAATAAAATAGGATTCAAACAAGGACAAAACTCTGTAAAAATAAAAACTTAAACAAAATAGATTTAAATAGGTAAAAAAAAATATTAACTTATCAATAAATATAAAATTAATAAAGGAGATGCAAACTATTTCAATAAGATGGAATTGAATTAAAATATATTTCAAAATATATGTGGAACAAATAAAAATGTAGGGGAAGTACTATCCTCAATTTTATAACATACATTATTAAGTATAAAATACTACAGTATAAATTTGTTACAATTTTAAATTTATATTATTTTCATATTACTAATTACATAACTACATGTCATAATAAACAAATTTGATATAACATAATTATATAAAATTTATATGAAACAAATAGCATGACATATTAAACTACTCAAATGTCTTATTCGATAAAATAGAGTATCAAGTAGGATAGATGAAAAAAATAAATAAAAAAAACCACATGATATAATATATGTATTTGGACATGAATTTATGGATATAATAGTAATTATTAAAATATAAAAAGCATAATATTATTCTATTTTTATTCATATATAGATTTAATTGCTAGAATTAAAATATTTTAACTCAATAATAAATTGATTTTCAAAAATAATTAATAATGTTAACCAATATATATCTTTTTTACTTTACTAAGAACCTATAAATTATGTACTACATATTTTAGTTAAAAGGTGCCCTTTCTTAAACTAAAGTTGAACACCTATTTTAAATAATATTTTTTAGATAATTTGTATCTACCTTTATTTTTTGCATAAAGTAGATACAAATATTCAATGAGTTTTTTCAAACAAGATGTTTTTGGTTGATACTTATCTTTGAATATCATGAGTATTTTCTTGTTGTATGACTAAGAAAATGATCAAGTGGGTCAAAAGAAAATGGTTGGAGTTTAGAATTTGGCCAAAATGATTTTAAGTTTTAAGAAACTACTTGTTAAGAAGTGGTTTCTTGGCTTATTACTTTCCGTCATGGATTTTCAACTTTCAATTTACCAATAGAAAATAATATTATTTAGTTCACATATAATAATTAATTTCAAGTTTTAAAAACTAGTTAAGCAGTGGTTTCTTGGCTTGTTAGTTGTTACTTGCATACTTTTATACTCAAATTTCATACTATAAAATATAATATAGAGTATGAATTCATAATATATAAAGTATGAGGACATAATAGTTGACAAGCCTAACAAAAACATTTATGAACTAAAATGAACACTTATTTCATATCATATGTAAAGGACAACAACAAACTGATAACTTTAGATTTTTCATTTTCTTTTTCAAGACTTCAAAAGGAAAATAAAAATGCAGCCATGGGCCCATGGGACGTGTTAGGGCCATCTTTTGTTGGTCTCTATGGGCCACCAATTTTATGGATGGCCAACGGCCCTTCCCGAAGGCCCTCTCGTCTTCACAGTCTCAATGGGAGGCCCGTTTTCTGCGTCACTTGCCGCTGTGGGAAAAGTAGGCGCCCCATCGTTATTCTACATAAAATATTACAACCATGAATTTGCATTTTATGATCTTAATATTATACTAATACAAAGTATGAAGAAATATCTAATACAACTTACCCCATAGTGTTGACCGTTGAAAATACTAAATAGTATGCAAGTCAGTTGTTTCAATTGTCAAAAAGAGAGAAAATGGTAAATGAAACTCAACCTGAATTATTGTTGTTGGTTTGATTTTATCAAATCAGTGAATGATTTAGTCTTCAATATCTTGGCACACATTTAACTCATTTTTCATGTGATGATGTTTGATCAATTTTTCAATTTTTTTTGGTTGGAGATTAGTTCACGCCTAAATGATCATATTCTAGAAATATTTGATCAGTGAATGATTTAGTCTTCAATATCTTGGCACACATTTAACTCATTTTTCATGTGATGATGTTTGATCCATTTTTCAATTTTTTTTGGTTGGAATGTTCACGCCTAAATGATCATATTCTAGAAATATTTGATTCAGTGAATGATTTAGTCTTCAATATTTTGGCACACATTTAACTCATTTTTCATGTGATGATGTTTGATCAATTTTTCAATTTTTTTTGGTTGGAGATTAGTTCACGCCTAAATGATCATATTCTAGAAATATTTGACTCACTCTCACCTGTTTTTTTTTTTTTATATCAACACGCACCTATCATGTATGTGTGTGACCAAACAACAAATACACCGTTCACATATTTTTTTATAGGCTTTTGTTTGATGATACATTTCTTACTATTTCTTTTGTTCTTAGAAATTTACATTTCACCTTCCTTTGTGTAAATATAATTGTGTCTAGTGTTACAGTAGACCAGCTTTTACTAAGTTTCATACTTATTTTAGATCTTAATGTGTAGATGTGACCATGGGCAGATCAAGCAAATGGAATGGGGTGAGGCTAAAGTTTTGTGGTAATTGAAAAACGATAAAAAAATCGGCACAAAATAAGACATACAAAATCATCATTATATATAAATTTTAATATTTTTAAATAATTCAATATGAAATATTAAAACACCACACAATTTGTATATTTCAGTATTATTATCCATTCTGATGACTTAAAATGATTTACTATCAATACAAAATTATTCATCTACCAGCTGCAAACATTGTACATATGCAAGATTTCATGATTAATCAATCATATATCAATATGGTTGATTAATCAATCATATATGATTAATCAATCATATATCAATCTTAAAATTTTAATACCCGTAGTGGGTAAGAGAGCAATATTATATTTCAATATATTGGATCAAAGAATTTGTTATAACTCCATCTCTTAGTTGATTTCATTGTTAACACGGATTTTTATTGGCAATAATTTTCCAATCTAACAATTATTATAATAGCATGCAAAGTCATGATAAATTTGTTTAAACATAAAATGGATAAATAAGACATTGCAATAAAAAAAATTTAATATGAAAGGAGAAAAAAAACCTACTTAATAATCAACTTCATTTATAAATTATTTTTGTAAAATTACTCAATTTATACTTATTTTTTTAAAAAAATCATGTAATCAAAATATAAAATTCCAGGTAGGGGCTATGGATCCGCCCCTGAAGGTGACTAATTATCAACTAAATATAGATTTCAGTATTTTTAATAACTTAAAATATATCTTGATCATATTATATATATATATATATATATATATATATATATATATTCATCCATGAACATTATTAGCCAGACAAATTCATTCATTCACATTTTTTTTGGTTTAACTAGTTTTGAATGTGTTGTCAATATGTTTTTAAGCAGATTTACTACTTTTTGATATGTTGGTGAAATGACAGAATTGCCACACAAGAATTTGAGCATAGAAAGGCAACTGTTTCATATTTCTAAACAATTCCAAGGAATATGTCAGTAAATCCACATTAAGAAACACAAGCTACGTACACTATATACAAACGAATGTTGTGAGCTTGTGAAGGGCTTAGCGGAAGCCGCGTTGTACCTTTGTACAACGATAAGGCTAATGTGCTCGGAATTGTGAAAGTTAAGGTCCCGATTGCCTTGAGCCTGGTGGTTAATTCGTGCGGGAAGAAAGTGCCACAAGGTTTTGTTTGTTCTTGATTGAAGTTATATTAATAATATTGAAATGTTTTGTTTTATGATTGACATGCGTCATTTTTATGTACATTTTATATTGATTTTCGTGCTCGTTTCATTGTAGTTTAATATTTAATTAATTAATTATCTAATTATTTTTATTAAACTATGATAAAGTGTGTTATTTTTTGTTTAACAAGAAATATGATCGAATTAATTTTTTGAGTTAAAAACGGCGTAAAACGAATATAAACGTGAAATGAGCCCAACATAAGCATCATGAATATGAATTAATTAATGGCTGCACATTGCTAAGAAGCTAATCATGAATATGAGCCCAACATAAGCCCCTCATGAATATGGCCAGCGAAATTTGCTCGCGAAAATCGCCCTCCAGCTCGCAAAACAACTCCAGCTCGCGAGTTCCTCATTGCCAGCGAATTTTGCCCGCGAAAATCCCACTTTAGCTCGCGAGTTCAGCCTACCTCGCGAGTTTCCCTCATTAAATGTGTGTGTTTTTAGTGTGTGTTTGTGGTGTAGCTATAAATAGACTTAATGCTTTGTAATTTGGGAACAATTCCTCATTTGCTAAAATTTTCCTTTTAGTTTTTATCTCCTCCTTCTCTCTAGTTTTCTTTCTCTCTCTAAAGGCTCTAAGACCCTATTTTTATTGTAATATTTCTCCATCAAGATTACAACTTTTCGGCTTATTTCTTCTCGTGGATGCACTAAAGACTTGGAGACTTCGTTTAAGGTCCGATTGGAGACTTAGTTGAAGGTCCTAGATCTCGTAAGTCTTGTCTTGTCTTTACTTATTGAATTCATTCTAGGGTTAAGATAAGAGCTTCCATGAGTCGATTATGCTATCATCCTCGTAGGCTAGGGATTATGTGATTGTGTTATTGATTGCGTTAGCTTATTTGCATGAACGAGAATTGATTGAGAGATCGATTGGTTGATCGCGAGTGACGATTGCTTGATTACATGTTCCCGAATCTATGAATGCCTTCTTTCCATCTCGGGTATAGAGTACCTTGTTATTTTTCTCTCTATTTTCTATTTTTCTTGCAACTTGAGGTGTTGCTTGCTTTAAATTACGAATCTTGCTTTCTTTAGCTTAATTAAACCACCAAATCATGCGAGTAGAATGTTTAGGACTTTTTATTTTTCTTTCGTGTGAGTCAATCGCTGCTTGAATCCGTGTCCGAATAGCCTTCCTTTGAGAACGACCCGAGTCCGGGTAGCTCGGTTACCACTTACCCAAAAATACTACAAACAGGGGCATAATTGTCACTTCCATAGAAAAGAAGAACACATCTTCTTCTTCGTATCTTCACTCCTACGTGAAATTTCCGCCATGGATGAGTGTCGAGCTGTGCGCTGCTCTTGTTATCTCAAAATACTCGCTGCTAGGATACTACTCGTGTTTCTCCGAACGGGTTCTGAATCAGCTCTTGCCTTTTTTACGCGACTCGTGTGACTTGTGACACGAGTCGTGTGGGTCCGATATGCGTTTTTTCTATTTTTATGGGTTTTTTGACTAGTACTTGATCTCAACTATTTAAGAGACCCTAGGGCACGTTTTTTAGGGGGTCTTGAAGAGTTTTTCAGATTTTTGGAGACTTTTGGAGGCTAAAAACACGAGTAAGACAGAGCGAGAAAGCCGGGAAGAGGAGTTGACGGAGCCGAATAATTTTTTTTTTTTTCTTTTTCTTTTTATTTTTTCGAACTCAATGTTTTATATTTATTTTGCTGATTTGGAAGCATGTTTCTAGGCTAAATTTATCTTAGATTTTATTATTTGTTAGTACTCGAATTGATTTATGATATAGTTTTTATTGCTTTTATCCCGGTTTATCTTTCGTTTATAAATTTCTTGTGCTTATTTTTGTTGTATGAGTAGACGACTGCTATGAATACATATTTTGTGATTGATTTGGGAATGAGAGAAGATAATTGATTGCTAGAATTGAGAAATTTATAACCTAAGATAATAAACAGACCGAGAGTTTGATAGGACTTTGCGAGAGAATAATGAAAATTTGAGAAATTTATGGAGTTAATTGTTCATCTTGAGACCGAGAGGAGATAGATAGCAATTAATCTACGATTTAACTTGTTCCAGATAAATGTTAAATTAATTTAGTGATTATTTCCACGATTGGTAAAATTAAATAAGATTTGATTGAATTTAAACGTTTCATGAATTAATTATGAGGAACGCTTACCCTAGAATCTATCTTTTATATCTTGATTTATTTTTATTACTTTAGATAAATTAGTTCTTAGGTTCTTGGTTCATAATCATTATCCAATATATTGGTCGAGATAATATTTAATCGTCATTATTTTAGTATTTAATTAATTTAACTACAATCTCTGTGGAATACGACCATGTTTGTCACTACCTATAGCTACGTCGCACACTTACGGATAACTTCCACTTGTTCGCTACTACCTATAGATACGCCGCACACTTGCGGATAGCGAAAATAATTAGCCAACGATGATGTTTGTTTGTTGCTTGTAATTTGTATGTTGATGAAATGAATCAATGTGACATTGTTTAAGAAATGGTGATCTCTCATCAAGTTTCTTGCTTTCAATGCATGGTTCTATTAGTTAAAGAATTATAGATCATTTGTATCTACTTCATTGAATTTTTTCAAACAAAATGTTTTTAGTTGACACTTATATTTGAATATGAGTATTTTCTTCTTGTATGATTAAGGAATTGATCAAAGTGGGTCAAAAGTAAATGGTTGGATTAGTTTAGAATTTGGCCAAATTAAATTATTTTAAAGTTTTAAGAAACTACTAGTTAAGCTGTTGTGTATTGGCTTATTATTTGCAGTCATGGACTTTCATATTTCAATTTATCAATAGAAAATGATATTATTTTGTTCATATATAATGATTTTAAGTTTTACAAAACTAGTTAAGAAGTGGTTCTTGGCTTATTATTACTCACAGTCATGTATATACGTATATATGTACATGACGCGTTTATACTCAAATATCATACTATAGAATATAATATAAATGAAAAAGTATGAATTCATAATATATAGGAGTATGACTGCGTAATAGTTGGCGGCCTAACAACAACATTTAATAAATTAAAACGAACACTTATTTCTTATCATATGTAAAATGGCAACAACAAACTGATAACTTTAGATTTTTCATTTTTTTTCAAGACTTTAAAAGGGAAATAAAAATGCAGCCATGGAACGTGTTAGGGCCATTTTTTGTTGGTCTCTATGGGCCACCACTTTAGTGGCCATGGCCCCTAGGTGAAGGCCCTCTATTCGCCTGAATCTTAGAGGGAGACCCGTTTTCTGCATCACTTGGCGACATGGGAACACTAGGCGCCGTAATGTTATTCTGCATACAATATTACAATCATGAATATGCATTTTCTAATCTTGATATCTAGAGAATATCTTAGTGCTAGCTATTAAACGAACAATTCGCAAACACAACTCAGTTCAGCTTGTGAGTGGTGCCGTTTATTAAACGAATTGAGCTGAGCTTGTTCGCGTACAGCTCGTTTATAATTTTTTTTTTTTTTTGGCTTATAATATAATAGTTGAACCAATATGTTCGCGAAACATGAGTTCGTTAAAGAATTTAGGCTTATTAAACAAGTCGAGCTGAGCTCGAATAACAGCCTTACATTAGAGATCATGGTACCGAAAGATTTTTAGATTTGTGAAATTCTATAACTGATCATTTATAAAGGAAAAAAACACACAATTTGAAATATATTTTGAGACATTTATTAAAGTTGTGGATGAAAAATGGGTGAGTATGTAGTAACTAGCTGATGACTAATAATTTAACTGAGCAAACCTCGATGGATGTGGAATAATGAGCAACATGGAGTTCATCGAGGACTCGAGCATGACATGCATGGAAATTGAAACAAAATAGCAACATTAGCACAAGAGAGGATATGATTTTCGACATCTCTCAAGTCTCAAAGGAAAGTTTAGAAAGAATTCAAGTTTTGTTGCAATCAGATAACAAAAGCCAAGAGATTGAGTTGTTGCTAAAATAGCTTAAACCCATACTATATTTATAGGAGGTGATAAAGAACAAGGAGAGACATTTTTCACTCTTTCTAATTTTCAACTTAGGAATACCCACATTATCTTTTGGAAAAAGTTATGTGCTTTAAGAAAATTAAAAGGCGTGAGTAGCTTTCTTCTT